AAGTCATATGTAATGTCTACTTAGTAGCCACATCAAGGTATTACTATTTACATCAAACTGACAAGTCACTTTTTTACTTCACAAATGTTACACAAATTTAATGTGTTTTAGAAAAGTACAATAACACATAAAACCCTATTAAATAATCATTGCTTTTTCTTCAGTAATTTTTATCAAAAAAAGATTGTTTTATATTTTTTTTTATAAAAACCCATCAAATCAATTATTAATATACAACCAATCAGATTTAGATTTAATGCTTACTGCTGTTACATATATTTTTAAGCATCAGCTATAAAGTGGTTTATTTTTCACAGAGTTTAAATGTTCATGTTTTTCTCATGAATTATTTGGAATTTGCTTTTAAAAATCAAATTTACGAGAGAGTATATTGTATAAGAGATGGAGACAACCTACATTTTGTTGTTAATTTGTTAGTTTGATATGTTTTAAATTACCAGACAGTTATTCAATTTTCAGAATTTTGTCCAGTATCACACTTTAAGGAGAACAAACTAATTAATTATTATTCATGTATATAGTATATGCTATTGGCTAATGCAAAATTCAAACATACCCAAACAAAAAGAAAAAAATCATAAAAAAAAAAATCTTAACAAATTGAAGCATTTTTTAAAATATAGTTTTGTTAAAATCTAACGTAAACCGAACCCTTTCATGATTACAATTATTGATAATTACTGATTTCATAATTATAATATAAATCTATAGATTAATTATCCCTACCTGTCAATCAGGTTCTGCTCAATATCTGGGTAAATATCTGGCATATTCTTATCTTTACTGGTCAGTTGAAAACATGTAATGACCATTAACACTGACCAGTGGTGTTGATTAAAAACTTCAAATGACCATTAGCTATACTTGTGACAAAAAACACACTAGTGATCACACAGCATCCTTTTTATGTCCACTTAGTTATCAGATATTTTTCATAATGTAAAAATATCACTGGTCACTTGTCCGTAGCCACATGATACAGAGGTTAAAGGTCATTATAAGCGTGGCAAAATCAACATATACATTACATGCCTACTTAGTTTAAGTGGGCTGTCCTAAACCACTAGCCATGACTGACATGCGTCTAAAATATTTAAAGCAATTTTTTCAGCAAAGATGACCATTGCACTGGTCATCTGCTTGAAAAATGAAATTTTAATAAATCGGTTTTAATGAATACAGTGGTCAAACATAAAAACTGACCATTGGGTCTGATGGTCATCATCAACAACAAAAGGGATAATTAAAGCTGACCCTTTGGCCATTGTCCACCTTTATTTTTAAAAACTGACCATTGAAAAACACCTGCCTGTATGACATGGTAATGTAAGAAGGATAAAAGACTGGTCTGACCTGGATGACATTTGGTCACCTTTTACACAACATATGTCCCAAAAAATCCTATTATCTGCTGTCTTTTCATCATTTTAATTTTTATTGCTTCACTGACCCCTGTAAATTTTATGGCTGGTCTTTTTCACAGTAAAATGATATTTGATTACAATGTTTTAGTTTAAAGGGAATAAAAAAGATGAGTTTGGGGATGGGGTGTAATTTAAAAAGGATTTAAACTATGTTTTATGTAATCTTTTTTCAATTATATAATATTGTCTGAATTTTTTTTTCTCAAAAGAATAATGAAAGTTACTTATGAGAAACTGATGAGAGCATTTAAAATAGTTTTATAAATACATACATACACATAAGTATTAAAATAGTACATTTTGTTTGCACTATTTCAACTTTTTATATTTGAATTTTATATTCTTTTTCTTTGTCCCATAATGAACTGCTTGTTACTGCTAGCATAGGGAATTAAAGGAATTGAATTTTTCATTTTTGCCCCCAACTTTAAATGAATCTTTCAGGTCCCACAAAACCAAATTGAACTATCAGCTTGATTTTTTTTAAAGAGTAGGAAATGTCATCTCAAACAATAAGTTTGTTAGACAGACATAGTGGTCTGATCTCAAGCAAAGGGACAGACACATAAGGGTCCATTCTCCCTCACAGTCTATAAAGCAAGCATTTAGTTTAAAGTAAATACTTTCAGCCATTTCATATATCAGGGTTCTCACTTATACAAATCCATCAGTCCTGGATTCATGAAATCTGTCTGGATTCATCATTTTCTGAACAGTGAGCTGAGCCCCGTCTTTTTTTTTTATAGCAAAAGTTCTAAAATGAGTCTAATTTGATGTACTTTCCTTGCTCTTTCTTGTCCATGAGACTTAAATAATAAAATCAGGCAATGACATTGTTTTTCTTTTCACTGTTGGACTCGACATGACCAACATGGATAATTTCTGGACAGAAATCCTTATTGAAAAGCCTGAGCTATTCAGCAATGATGATAGTCATCTTCGCTAGCCAAGGGTTAGGGGACCAAATCGTTACCCTTGGCTAGTGAATATGGCTGATAGTTAAAAGTCAATCTGTTCAGCCTTTACAATTCTGTTAAGCTTCTCTCGGCATAGTAATTAATATTTTTTGACAACTTTTAAAACATTGTCTTTTGAGCACCAGTTAAATAAGATAATTTTCTTACTTATTCAGCAAGACAAAAATAAATCAACATCAAAAATTGCCAAATTTGGTTGAAGAGAAAAAGTTTTTAACAAGACATATTGCGGAAATATTCACACTTTAAATAGATTATAATAACATATCTTATTATTTCAATTTCCATGAAACAAAAAAATCCTCACAAATACTTATTGGAAGTATTATTTTCAAATCCTGTTAATTCAATTGAAAACACTTAAAACCTTTAAAAACAAGCAGATTAAAGTTGAACAAAAACACTTGATAAACATGCCCGACAGTTGACACCTCATCGGAAAAAGATGTGCTTCAAACAAGACATCAGTTTTTTAAACCACTTAAAATCTGACCTAAATTTAATAAGATATAATTTATTGTAAATACGACAAATATTTTCAGAGATTTTATAATGCTTAGAAAGGAAAATTGATGTAATTTCAGAAAGTCAGTTCATGAATGTGTTTAGCTATTAGTTAAACCTATTTATTAGTTTGCAAAACAGGTGTTCAAGTCAGGTTTTATTCAAATTCATACTTTTTACGATTAAAAAAAAGGGGGGGGGGGAGGATTATGGACAGCTTGAAACTGTCTAACATTTGTACTCAGAAACTCACTCACTACTTTTTATATGTAGGAAAAAGATGATTCGTTTATTTTTTTAGGTACAAATTTCCATGCATTGAGGAAAAATCGGGTTTTTAGAGAATACCCTACTTGATTTCAATGTATAGTCAGTTCTGCAAACAGTTCTTAATTCTTGGTAAACCTAACTGTACCAGCAAAAATATCTATACCACATAAGTACATAATATACAATATTATGGAAGTTATATAATACACGTTTATACAATTAAGTATGACAGATTATGATGATGATGTGAGATAAACAAACTTTTAACACTATTACACAACTTCAACAAACTTCTAGCATCCTTATCAAACTTAAGAAAAAAAAAAAAAAACAATGAGTGGAAGGAACTGACCATAACACGTCAATGAGATAGCAACCAAAACAAAAGAAATGTACATTTCGCCAAAGAATTATGACCTCGTGTCAGTATCACTTAATTTTGGTCCAGGTCATAATTGTTACTTATAAATAAGGTGTAATACCACCAAATCATAGTATGTCACATTTGGTTGCATACGAAAAAGATTCATTCGAAAAAAAATACACCCTTGAATATGACAGTTGTAGGAAATAAGTCCTATATTTCATTGCAGTAAAAAAAAACATAAAGTCATAAACATATATCTTGGGTGTTTCAAAGCACTATTCTTTTTTTATTTGGTGTTTCTATAGAATATTTGGAAACTTCAGGTTATATGGTTACTTAAGCTTGTACACTGGCAAAAAAGGGGTGAAAATTTGATTGGTTAACTTCCAGTGATGGTTATTATCTTATATGCAATGAAATGTTATGTGAAATTTTGTCTGTAGTACTGGACAGGATAAAACTTTACTCATGCCAAGTATTTCTTTATTTGAAACAAAGATAAATTCTGCAAAATTTTTTGAAAAGTGCAAATTTAACAAAGACTAATATGGGGAAAACAATGGTGGTATTACACCTATAAAGAAAAGAAGGACAGATGAATCTTTTTCAGTAACAATTGTTATGTCATACAGGTGAAAGATCACAGAATAATCTATTTTTAGCAACACTGGTACAAGTTTTTCAAACCAGGTGAAACATACATTCAAATTTCTATCAAGTTGTTTTTAACAACTTACATTTTAGTTATCAATAAAAAGATAAAAGGTCCACTTATTTTAGACAAAAAGGTAAATTGTAATCTATTGCACCTGAGAGTAAAAATAGTCTTCACTGATAAACAGGTTTACATCATTCTAAGGCCCTTAAATCACTAGTGACAAACTATATTTATATATATATGTATATAGTGACAAACTATATATATATACTTTTTGTCCTTTGTGGTTTATAAGATCTTTATTTTTTGAATAAGTTTTGGATTTTTAATCATTTATTGTCGAAATGCACATCTGGTGTATTTAAACTGGTACTGTTAATGTTATTATATATATACCCTAATTAGGATCACAACAACATAAATAAAAGAACATCTAACAATAAGAAGATGTGGTATGATTGTCCAAATATCCACGAGAGTCAAGATGATGTGGATGTTAACAACTATAGGTCACTGTACAGCCTTCAACAATGAGCTAAACCCATAATGTAAAAGAAGCTATAAATGGCCACGACATAGTAAAATGTGAAACGATTCAAAGAGAAAACCAGCGGCCTTATTTATGCCAAAACAATAAACGAAATACAAATATGACAGACAGCAACCATCAACAACTGAATTACAATCAGGTCTGTAACAATGTGACAGCAACCCAATGACAAGACAAAACCAGCCTTGGGATACAAGTTCACTTCTACTCCATTTGGGAAGAAACTTACCTTTTAATGGCTGCTTGAAAATCTTCCATGTTCTCGTGACATTTCTTTAAATTATCATTTAACTGGTTGTTCTCCTCATTCTTGTCCATCCTTTCTTCATTGCCTTTATCTTGATTGTCTGACATTTGGGATTTATCTCCCTTGATGTCATCTATCTGTCCTAATTCTCTTGATTCTTGTCTTATGTAGGCATCACTCTTCTGTGACTTTTGTGAATTGTCTTCTTCCAACTGTCCAAATTCTCTTGATTCTTGTCTGTAGGCCTCAATCATCTGTCTCTCTCTCATGTTTTCTGGTCTTTCAAACATCTGAGGATATAGTTGCTTTTCTTGGTTTTGTTTCTCGACAAGTTGCCTTGGTGATATAGCTTCATTAGCTTTATCATGGTTGTCTGACTTTTGTGAATAATCTCCCATGCTTTCTTCTTCAATTTTTCCAAATTCTCTTGATTCTCGTCTATAGACCTCAATCATTTGTCTTTGTAGGATTTTTTCTTGTTCTTGTCTGTCAAATACCTGAGGAAATAGGTTCTTTTCTTGGTTTTGATTTTCACCATGTTGCCGTGGTGATATCACTTGCTGATTGTAAATTTCTGGGTATGGCAGTCTTGGTGTTGTTTTCTCTTGACCATGAATGTCCAGAAATGGTCTGTGGGCAAACTGGTGACCATCTTTGATATACCCAACATCTTCTGGAACTGAAAAAGAAAAGTATCTGGTAATTAAACACATTGTATATCATCATGACTTAAATTTTCATAACTACTGCAACCATATTTTTATAAGTTTTGTGATCACTTTCATTTAACCCATATTAAAGAAATTTAGGATGCATTAAAATCTATGACGAGATATTCAAACTTTTGCAGAAGTCCAAAAAACATCAAAATTCAAAGATTTCATGAATACGTCTGATGAGTAAACATATTTTATCAGGCTATTACACCACTTCCCCAGGTTGATTGGCCTGTTTCAAACCAAGGTTGTTGTCCATTGGTTGCCTTGGTTGTTGTCAGCCACAATTGTTTTTGTTTATTGTTTCAATTTTAATCTAGCTTTTGGTTTTCTTTTACAATTTGCCATCCAGGGACCATTTATAGCTTACTTTATGGTACTAGTTTCCCTCATATACGGAGGCAATACGGTGGGTGACCTGTAGTTGCTCACTTTATGATATTAGTTTTGCTCAGTTACGGAGGCAATACGGTGGGTGACCTGTAGTTGCTCACTTTGTGATATTAGTTTTGCTCATTCACAGAGGCAATATGGTGGGTGACCTGTAGTTGCTCACTTTCTTCTTTTCTATTTTGTTTTTGCTTTAGAATGGGTGGTGGATTAAGTGTTGATTAAAAGACTGAACATCACTAGTGTTGTTTGAGCATATAACACTTCAAACTAAAAATAAGTAATTTCCAAGTAAGCGTTAATGAATCACTAGTATTTATATATTTCAAATCTTGCATTGCAATAACAAAGTATAAAGCAAATATTATTGCAAAACCAAATATGTTTATGGTTGATATTGTCATGGAATACTCAATAGAAGTTACTTTTTAATATAAATTCCAAATGGAAAAAACATTCTGGAAAACTATTTCCACTGGAAGAAATATTATAGTCTTTGTTCCTGAATGAATAAAGGTTATAAACTTTTTGTTCCAACAGGAACAGAATTGATTGTAGCAAGGTTTCCAGAGAATCCTCTGTGAGGCGAACAAATGTAAGTTGACAATGTTAATGATTGCTCAACAGTTAAGAATATAATTCTATTTCTTGTGGCAATATTAGTCCTAATATCAAAACTGTACATACCTGCCAACTTTTCAAAATCTCCATGGGGGATATAAGCATAAGAACCTATACATGACGTTAGTGTACTTAATTAAAACGTCGATGGTTTTGAATGAGTAAACATGTGTTTAAATGTACTTTTTACTCCTCAATGCTAGTTTAAAGAATTGAGGTTTATAAGGGTCAGGTCAACACCTTAAATGGGGGATATCCACCACAAAGTGGGAAGGTTGGCAGGTCTGACTGTACTAGATACTATATAAGTATTTCTTATACAAGATCGAAGGGAGATAACTCAAATTTTACTGAATTATATATCTGTCTATTATTCGATTTTTCAATAATCCAATTTTTATGTGCAACACATGGTCAAATTGCTTTAGGATGATCAAAGCAATAAAAAACATCTAAAAAATTGAAATATCCCTCAGGTCAATATAATTACAAGTTTTGTATCAGCTTAAGTGAAATACACTACAATATGAATTGGATACAGATTAATATGAATGTTATAAAAGCAAATAACTTAAATCTGTAATTACTTTGAGTCAATAAATATTACAAATTATCAAATATGTTATTTCCAAGGTATTTCTGCATGAAACACATTAAATTATTAAAATAAGGAGATGGGTTACGATTGCCAATGAGACAACTATAAACCAAAGTTCAAATCAAGTGGGTTTATAGTGACTTTATACATCTATGATGTAAGCAATTATAATAGGCAACCATACGGTAAATCCTTTTCTTTTTTTATTATGTTATTTAAGGTGGTACCAAATACCTTGAAAAATAAATTTGGCTTGTTTAATTTTCATAAAATTTTGACAAATAATTAACTTTTACCCTTTAACAAAAATAAAAAAAATTAAAAAAACTTGAACAACGCATTTTACCAGAAAAATTCATTGGATATATAGCAGTTTGACAAACACTAATTTTGATCATTGAGAAGCTTAATATTTCCTTAACAATAGAACCTGATTAAAACGTTCAGCTGATTTTTACAGAGTTATCTCCCTTTAGTGTAATGTACCACCTTAAGCTAGTTTACAAATTAATTGTGGCCTTAGAAGTTCATCTCAGTGATCCCTAGCCTAAGTCAACATTCAGGTTGATAGTTCAAACCTTGCTTTTTAAAAAATGCATTTGACTCCAATCTTGACTCGGATTGCCAATTTACTTTCCAAGGGTTTTTTATTCTTGTTGCTCATATATTTTATTAACAGATTTTCATAAAATTCAGTTTGAAACTCATGTCATGCAGAAATGAGATACCACAATTTCACATTGTCACATCCAAATTCTTAGTGAAATGAACCATGTTTCCAAATTGAGTGATTAAGCAACAATGAAAGAAATAGACAGATCGGGAAAAAGCTTTATCCTTCCATTTGTTAACAGAAATCAGAAGAGGAAAATACAGGGAGTATGTCTTCTGCATTACAAGCATCAAATTTATATAATTTTCAACTGACCATTCAAATAGTCCCTACTCGTCTAAGACGCTGCATTACATAACTGATTTACAAGGGTGGAAGTTGCTTTTTTAAAGTGTAATAAACTGTTAATTAACACCAACAAACCTGTAAATCACAAACATTTTTTACCCACACCTAAGTCTTTCATCACAGGCAAGACAATCCTTTTTTTTTTATTTCTAAATTTACTAAAAAATAAGATTTTGATCAGAGTTTAATGTCCCTTCCAAGAAAGAAGTAATGGTTCCCAGCAATGCTGGACTTAAGCAAGGATATCATCTGACTAGAGCTAGACTTTTCATAGAGCTAATAGGATCATTAATGGCCGTTTGTTTTTCATAGTTACTGAGGATTCATTTATTTTCATGAGTTGAGAAAAAATTGCATTTTCAAGGATATTAGATTTCATGGTTTTGTCTACATTCACATATAAGCCTATAGAAAATTTGCACTTTGTTGAACAGTTAATTTTTCATTTAACATTTTCGACTTATGACTTTGAATGTCCCTTTTATCCTTCACCTCTATTTCAAATTTCTGGTTCACCTAAGCCCACTAAATCCAGGAAAATTGGTATCCCATGAATAAAAACTAATTCACATTATATATTTCAAACTTTTAAAAGAATATCAAATCATTGGCTATGTTCAACTTTCCTATGTTTAAGTTCTATACATTTTAGTTAAAATGTTGGCAATGAGCTCAAATTTTTAACATAACCAATTTTTTCTTTTTCTTTGAATGTTTCATAATAAAATGTTGGTTATTTTTTTAGTAACAAAACTGTTTGTCACATCTGATCAAACTTTGACCTTTCACAAATCAGTAATTGACGAAGTTTGATCAAAATCCATTTCAAAGTTTATAATCAAAAACGATTTCTTAAGACTCAAAAATCGTTATTTTCTTATAGCCTTGTAAATTAATTCAATTAAAAAAATCGTTTTGGGCTGTAATGTTTAAATATGAACATTTTCCCAATAAGTAAATGTACACTTACAAACGAAATGACAAAATTTGCAATTTCATTCAAAAACAATTTCTTAAGACTCAAAACAGTTATTTTCTTACTGATTAACATCAATTCAATTGTCTAGTTTAAATGTATTAATATAAACATTTTCTGTGATAAGTAATTGTACTTTGCACAAATGACGAAATCTAAAATAAAGACGTATCATTTTGTCAATATTTACGTGAAAAATGTACATTGCACAAATGACAAAAATCATCATTTTGTCAATATTTACATGGAAAAATGTACTTGGCGAACTTTTCTTTGTCTAAACAAATAAACATGTTAATATATTCACTATACAAAGATTGGATGGATTTTTAATAAATGCTATCTTATTCTATCAGTACAAAGTACTGGTCATTTGTACTGCGGTTATCTAATTAATTTTTGTGAGAAAGTTGTAGTGCACTTAGTATGCTTAATGGAAAAACAATAAATGACCCAGTGAAAAAGAATGTTGGAAGGGTCAAGCTGACCATCACATATTGATAAAGCTATTGATTTTTGTACAACTCATTTCATTATCCAAGCAAAGATTACATGCACTGAGGCTTCCCAAGGGAAGATAACACATTATTACCAATAATTACTAGGATCAAATTTCTTCTATTTATCATTTTTAATTATTTTAATGATATTTTGATATATCTGATGACTAAAATGACAAACAAATACATATTTTACTAAAACATAACAAAAAAAACATCTTTATCCCGAATGTACCCCTTCTTGGCAGCACAAAAAAGTGATGATTTACATGGTTAGGTTGACCAGCTGTGAGAATCTTCTTTAAGTAATTTTTATGAGATATTTATCTTCTCTGCCTGGTGTTTTCCATCATATGATAACATAATCACTTTCTCAAGGTTACAATACAACTGGTCAGTTTCTGGTGTAAAATTTTTATTGGTCAGTTCTACTTTTGTGTACTTTAAGTCATCTGGTGTAACAATTTTTCCTATCATCAATTTGATACACCTCTTCAAATATTAATGAATATTTATTCACTCTGTTCCCATTTGAAATTTATTCAAAATTGAATTTTATCCTAATCAATCTTCATTTTAAATCATGGTTTTTTTTCAATAAAAAATCATTTAAAAATGTGATACTAATTACCTTAAATTAAAAGGGAATTCTATTAAATTATATATTGAAAGATAGGGGCATAATGTTTTAAGATTATATATATCCTGGGTAAAAGGAGCAAAAACAGACAAAAAACTGCTTAGGTCTTATAAAAATGGAGACTGCATGCTTTCATTTTATAGTCCCATTACCAACTTTTCCTTTGCATTTATAAACTACTTATTTCTAGAGTTTTTTAAAAACTCTTTAATTTTGATAATTTGCTGTTTTAATAAACCTATATCAAGCAATTTAGACTTTTACCTTAATGGTAATG